TCCTGGCCCTCAACAAGCTCATCCTCGCCATCGTTCGCCTCCTCCTCCTGCTCCTCCTGCTTGCCAGACCTCGTGCAGGACACGGGGAAGGTCGCACGTGTGGTGTGAATAGTTCTGCGCTCAAGGGTGTACTGCTGCTGCCAGCTTCGACTGAGCTTGACGGTGTCGAGATTCTACCCACGTCGCGGAGGAGGCGGGAGGAGAGTGGAAAGCTGCCCCAGTATGCCAGACTAGCACGCTGGGGAAGGAGGAGGAGCAGAGGAAAGGAGAAGGAGAGGACGGCGACGAGAACGACTATTCTCTTCAGTTGCTGCTAGGTCGTGCACGTGACGACCCTGAAATGACGAGGAAGGGGAGAACTTTGAGAAGGACGTGAGGGAGGATAATAAAGAGGACGAGGACAGACGAGGAGGGTAGCGACAAGGAGGACGATGAGGAGTAGGGGGAGAAGGAGGACTAGAACGAGTTAGAGAAGGAGGCCGAGTCACAACCCCTGTCCTCAATCTCGTCTTTGTCCTTGCCGTCCGTATCCCCCTCCTCGCAATCCTCGTCCTCCTCGTTGCTCTCCTTCTCCTCGGTCAGGCAATCTGGTAACTGGCCTGGAGCGGCCAAGACGCCGGGATCCTCCAGGAAAAAGTGCGAGACGGCTCCAGAATAGCATCGAAAGATCCACGCCACAGCACAGATCCGCTCCGAGGCGGCTCCAAGTGATCAAGGAGCCTCCCAAGAAGCCCCAAGATGCCCCCGACGGAGCCCAAGAGGCTCCCAACCGCCGTCGTCGTCGTCGTCGTCGTTGTCGTCGTCGTCATGGCCGGCGCCGCCGTCCTCGTCGTCGTCGTCGTCCCCCTTCAGGGTCGGCGGCACCGGCCGCAAAGCCTTCCCACTACCATCGAAATGTTCATGCCACGGCACAGCCGTGCCTGGCTGCAGCCTTGCAGCACCGACCTGCCGGAGCGCGGTGGCGGACCTCCGCTGCAGCGCAGCTGGATGCACATGGGCCAGGAAGCTCGTGAAGCGATCACGTCCTCAGCGTCCTCGTCCTCATCCTCGTCGTCGTCTTCCTAGCATGTAGCAATCCCTCGAAACAGCCTGGGATCTTCCCAATAGAATCAGACATTTCCGAAAACTGCATGGATGGAGGGCGGATTCTTTTCAAATGCGGGCTGTCGCGTGGCAAGCAAGCAAGACATCGCAAGCAATTCATGCGCGCTGCAAGCAGAATCCGATGTGTGCTGTACCCTGCGCAGGACCTCGCTACGTGCGGAACCGAATGTGCATGGAACCGTGTTGTGGTACTTGGAGCCCAATGTAAGTGGAGCTCTGTGAGTGTGCACTCCTATGGGTGTGAAACTCTCTTTGTGTAACCCTGTGGGGTTAAGAGCCCTATCCCTGGAATCGTGAGGGTACCCCCGTGTGTATGTGTATGCATGTGTGCATGTGTGCATGTGCGTGCGTGCGTGTGTGTGTGTGAGAGAGAGTGGGTGTTTGCATGCTTGCGTATGTGTCCCAAGCCCCCATCCAAATCAAAGGTCCAAACGCAGCTCCCAAGCCACATCCACGCAAACATCAAAACTGGGTACAAAAACGCGTCCAAATCCACACACAACGTCCAAGCGAACGTTCAAACCGTCATCAGAACCAACATTCACACCGACGTCCAAATGTAAGTCCGATTCCAGGTCCAAATAGACTTCCAAACCCACGCCTTAACACACGTCCAACATCTTGTTCAATTCAACGCGAACGACGCGACGTCCAATCCAGTCCAAACCAACGGCCAAATCCACGTCCAAATACGCGCCCATAACGACGTCCGAATCCACATCCAAAAACATGTCCCAACGCAAGTCTGCACACAGGTGCAAAATCCACGTCCACACTTTTCACCCGCCGCGCCAGTGAATCTCACCAGCGGTTGAAGTTGTGGGGATGCCAGCAACCTACAGTCGCTTCCTTGCAAAGCACTTGGCAACACCGACCTGCCAGAAGAAGCACGCAGTGGCTAATGAAGCCCACGTGCACAAACACGCTCACGCACACACACACACACACACACAACACGTCCTAACCCACGTCCAGACACACGTCCAACAACATGTACTAACCCAAGTCCAAACCCCAGCCCACGCCTAAACCCGCACCAAAACTACATCTAAACCTTGTCAGAACGCACGTCCACGCCACATGGAAAATAACGGCGGGCCTTCGCACCAAGGACCGCATCCTCAAGGCGCAAGTGCTACCTCCTCAGTGGGATGAAAAGCAGATCCTGTCAGATCTCGTGATCTCACTGAAGATCCGCGTACAGATTGAACTCCACAGCTTGACATGCCCGACAGCTACATGGGTTGAGAGCGGCTCATTCTGAAAGTCGTGGTCTCCTTTCGGCGCCTCACACATGGATGGAGAGCGATACCCTCTAAGTCCGAGTGTGCTTCGCCGCGTGCGTTGCGCCGTCGAATTCGCCGACCCTCTGTGGTCACCAAGCGTGCGAGAAGTGTCCCCCCTGGAGCCCCCCCGCCGGGCCCAGAACCGTAGCTTTGAAAAGGGGTGCCCGGGCTCAGCCGGGGGAGGGGGATCGGAGAATCAGCGTCCCCCCCAAGACGGCGTCAGATGGGCACAGGCCCCGGGAGGCCGCCAGGACGACCCAAGATACCTCAAAGACAGCGCCATAGTTCCCTTGGGGGCACAGTGTGACGCACGAGAGACTTCCAGAGGCGCCCCCAAGAGAGCCCAGGGGAGGCCCGAGCCTGCGAAAATCAATCACGGACGTGGATCGAGGAGGAACACGCTGGACAAGCATAAACTCGTGGCGCTCCGCGCAGATGTCTTGGATCCGTGGCTGGGCCCCCCGCCCCTGGCGCGCGGAGCGCGCCAGGGGCGCAGCCCCGAGAACTCCGCGGGGAGCTCCGAACGCTTCTGCTTCGAGTGGCGTTACGTGATCTGGTTTTCTCTCGGTGGTTTCCTGCTCCTCCTCCGCCTCCACCTCCTCACCTCCGTCCTCATCCTCCTCCACCTCCTCTTCCTCCTCCTGATCCTCCTCCCCCCCCTCCTCCTCCTCCTCCTCCTCCTCCTCCTCCTCCTCCTCCTCCTACTCCTCCTCCCCCCCTCCTCCTCCTCCTCCTCCTCCTCCTCCTCCTCTCCTCCTCCTCCTCCTCCTCCTCCTCCTCCTCCTCCTCCTCCTCCTCATCCTCCCCACCCCCGCCCGAGCAGTCCTCTGGCGCACCGAAAGGGGCCGACATGCGGAGCTACAGATACCTGCGCGGGTGATGTTTCCCGGCAGGTGCGCTGCCGCGCGCCACCTTCGGAGTGCGGAACCTGTGGGCCGCGCCCCCTGCCATGTGTCCAGACACCCAGGCTGTCGAAGGATGGGGTCGCAACCGATGGTGATGATGATGATGATGATGATGATGATGATGATGATGATGATGATGATGATGATGATGATGATGATGATGTTGATGTTGATGTTAATGTTGATGTTGATGATGATGATGCTGCTGATGATGATGATAATGATGATGACAATCAATAGAATAATGATGCCGAAGAGCTCTCAAGTTCTGATTGCGCAATAGTTCCACCTGGCTCTGAGACGTGTCTTGCGACTTCTAGATTCCAGCCTCGGCAGCTACGGTTCGCAACACATTCACGCAGTGATGCATTATGGATACCTGCAAACCTGTAGCAACGCATGCAAATCATGTGCAATCACGAGCTGCACTGACAACGATGCTCGGCTCAAGCTTTTTAATGCACGCTTGAGATGATGCTGCCGACGATCACGACGATCACGGCGATGACGCTGACGGTGGCATTTACGGTGGCATTTACGATGGCGACGACGATGGTACTGATGATGGCGATGATGGCGATGATTACCACGGACACGACGAAGACTCTGTCGATTATGACGGTGAGCTCTTCTTGCAGCGTGCGCAGAAGAACCTGGCGGTACATGCCTGCACCGAACAACTGTGGCGGCACTGCGCGGATGAGACTTGCAGGCGCGGCGAGGGAAGTGAGTGCCCGGGTGAGAAAAAAAACACCGGGCATGGCCGCCTGCTGCAAGGACAATTCCTACGAAACGGATGTGAGCCTGGGCCTCAGAAGCGAAGAGATCGGGGGCGCGCAAACGTGGATTAGCGATGCATGGATTTGGCGCGCGGTCGCCAAGTCCATGGATCGTCGGAGGTGCCCTCCCCCAAATGCGGCCAGTGCCGCCCCGTTCGGCGGCGGAACTCCGCGACTTCCCACGGAAACGGGACCCGTCGCTAGTCCTCGCCCCCCTCGAACCCATGTCTGCAAGCGCCTGAAGAGAGCGTGCGGGGGGCGGAGAGGCCCCGACGAGAGACTCGGCGAGGAGCGCGCACCGTCCCTGGCCCGGGCGTATGCAAACATGCGACTGGCAGACGCGAGGACCCAAAGCGCACCAGAGGCCTTGATCGAGGGAGAGAGATGCAGACTTGGCGGCGCGCACAAACGGGGGCAGGGGGAGGGGGGAGGGCTTCTCAGAAGATGGCTGCTTCTCAGAAGGCGCTGGCCTTACAACTGTAGAGAAGGCCCGCGCCTTCTGTGAAGCAGGGGTACTTCTCAGAAGCCCTCCCCCCCCTCCCCCCTCTGCGCGTGGCCGAAAGACGTGAAGATCTGCAAGGCCGTGCACATCAGGTTGCAGTGGAACCGCAGTGCGCACGCGGGCCTGCGGCGCCAGGCAAGAGGCTCCAGCCTGTGGGCGGGCCCCCCAAAAATGCATCTGCCCGTGGCCCCGTCTGCCGGACGTGGGTTCTCGAGATCGTGGAGAGGATCGGCCGAACACGATGACGAATGTGATGTGGTTGTGCTGCGGAACAGGCTCTTCTCCACACAACTCGGTGGCCCCTCGCGAATTCCGGCAGGGTCGCGGGGAGCGAGACCCATGGCTCTACGGATGGCCGCCGTCTCCAGGTTTCCCTGCAGACCGCGGCAAGCAAGAGTTAGCATAAACATTGCATGCCGATTGCCTACATACCCTCGCCGCTGCTGGAGCCCACTTTGATAGGCATGTACTCCCACAGTTTCGAAAACTCATCGTAGGATATGTCGCCATCGTCTGAGCTGTCCAGGAGAGCAAAGATAATTTCAGCTGGTCCGAAAAAGCCGATGTCCTCGACCGCGGCGTTCCACTGCTCGAGGTTGAGCGAACCAGACCCAATTGGGTCAAGGATCTCCCAGACCTGCTCGAGGTCCTGGCCGAAGGCGATCACCATAAAATGCACAAACTCCCTGACCGTCAGTTCGAACTCTCTCTTCAGTTGGCCGAGGATGCCCCACTCTTTGCGAGAGATGGTGCCCTCTCCGCCTGGGTCCAGGTACCGGAACACGGACATGACGCGGTCTCGCTCGTCTCTGCCCTCGAACTTGCGGAATCTAATCTTCCCGAGGCCTTCCAGCATTTCTAAGAAACTGATCTCGCCGTTGCCATCATTCCCGTCTAGTGATGGGCTTGTTTTCCACCACCAACACCATTGGAGGGTGGAAGGAGGTGGAGAGAGAGGAGGAGGAAGAAGAGGAGGAGGCGGAGGAGGAGGAGGACCCCTTCCCCCTCCTACTTATGGTGGTGGCGGTGGAAAACAAGCTCACCATCTAGTGCATTAAAAACATCGTCGACGTTCTTGTAGTTGGACATGACCCGCCGGCCCCACACGGGGTGGTTGGGGGCAACAGGCTGCGAGGCCTGCATGCCCTGCTCTCTCCTCCACCTCCTCCTCCTCCTCCTCCTCCGCCACCGCCTCCTCCTCCTCCTCCGCCTCCTCCTCCTCCTTCTCCTCCTCCTCTTGTGCCCGAGTTATTCGTCAAGACGGTCCCCTTTTCCAGTGGCACGCCTGCAGTGATTGAAGAGTCCACGCCAGGGGCCGAGCAAGCAAACTCCTGATTTGCCCTCCTGGATCGCGTGCTCTGACTTCTGTAAATGCTCGGGGACATGCCAGCGCCCCCCAGACCCAGTGGCCACAATCCCTGGTAAATCACCGCGCGATCGCGCTCACGACGTCGCAGTCCCTGATACATCTACCACGGGCTCGCGCTCCCGAAGCCACACCCCCTTGCAAATTGCTGCTGCCTCACGCCCCCGAGGCCGCAGTCCTTCTGCACTTTGCGATCGGCTCGCGCCCCCGAGGCCAGACCGCGGCGCGCCCGCTCCCCCGGGGCCACGGACCCACCCCGTGGGAGGCCGCCCAGAACCGGGCACCGCCTCTCCCGAGCAGGGCACCGCCGTCTCTCTGGTGTGGAAGGCGTGTGTCGGGGGGGGGACGACGCGTCGTCCCCCCCGCCGATTCCGGAGCCTTCGCCCCTGGACCCGAGGCCGCGAGGATCCTGACAAAGAGCCGGGGGGCGAGCGCTCCCAGAGAGCAAGTGGCCCAGATCAGCTGCCAGTGACCAGCTTAGACGACACGCCACCCAGCCCAAATGCAAGCCAGCCAACCGACCTGAGAATCAAGTATCATACCGACCAAGCGTGGCCCTTCGGAGGAGGAGGAGGAGGAGGAGGAGGGGGGAGGGGGAGGGGGAGGGGGAGGGGGAGGGGGGGGGAGGAGGAGGAGGAGGAGGAGGAGGAGGAGGAGGAGGAGGAGGAGGAGGAGGAGGAGGAGGAGGAGGAGGGCCACGCAAGCAATCTGAAGGGGTAGCGGCGGCAGAGAGCGAAGCCCTTCGGATAAACTCCATCAGTCTCAGGACATCCTCTGGCACCTCCAGCAGGCCTGTCCACCACTGCACATCCGCCTCGGCAGTGCTGACCGTGTAGTGGCCATAAGTCTCCGCAGCTTTCCTGCGAGGTTCGTACTTCCGGTCCTCAGGGGCGCACACGTAGTGGCACACGAACCTCCCCTGCGTCGGCATCTTGTCCAAGAATTGCCACCTTGCCGGCACCCCTTGTTTCTGGAAGACTGGATCCACTGATCCATCTGGAAGATAATACTGAGGATTCCGCAGGTTCTCCCTCTTCTCCTTGCATGCCAGGTTGACCAGCAGATTTGCACACACCCTTTGATCATTCTGGGAAAAATCCAAACTAAAATGCGCGTTCTCTGGCTGCATGAAAGGGAAGAAGGATGCGTAGCCCAGGCGCTCCTGCAGCTTCACAATCTCCTCCTGTTTGGAGAAACGGCAGCTGAACATCTTGGCGTTGCATACATCGACAATCCGAAAGAAGAAAACTACGAAGCACTCCGCGCGTTCCTCTGCGTGTTTGAAATAGCCCAGCATCTTGCGCATGTGCATGGAGGTCAAGCTGATGTTGTGAGATATGCGGCGCACAACCTGCATCAGCGAGGATCCTCCCAGTGTAGACTGGGCGTCGTAGAGCGCGACCAGCACGTGGTCCCATAGGCTGTCGCTGACAGTCGCCTTCTTGGTCTTCGGGCGTCGATTGGTCGCGTAGTCAAACTCCAGCTCGCCTGACTCGGGAATGCTCCATTCCGCCATTGACGCGATGTCGTCTTTGATGATCGGGTGCCCGCGGTGGAGTTCGTTGCGGAAGTGCGACTTGTTGCCCCACTTCGAGGTGTCAAAATACTGGCTGCGGCTGTCAATGGCCGACTCCCAACGGTCAAGAAGGCAGAGACGGTCCGCCACCGCGTAGTCGCAACAATTGTCCAGGTACAGCTTGTAGTGGCCCGTCGGGTTCCCGGCGTTGAAGTTCAGCAGCGCCTGCATGCGCTGGTGCGTCCAGAGGAAGTCACCGAAAGAGGGCACGGTCATGTGCCCCAAAAACATCGAGGCTGCGTCGTATGGCAGGCAGGGCATCATGCGCCAGACGATGTCCTTGGCAAAGAGGCGGTTGCTGGCGCATATGGTTGCCAGCATTGGGACCGTCAGGCAGAAGTCTTTGGCGAGGGAGTCCAAGAAGACCTGCTGTTGCAGCATGCTCTGTTGTATCATCTTGAGGTTCGCGAAGATGGGTATCGCCTTCTTCCAGCCAGGCTGGTAGCGTACGATCTCGAAGTACTGGGTAAAAAAGCCGTCGCAGTCCTCGTCTTCCAAACCGTAGATGGCCTTCTCAATGCACCTCTGCATGTCGAGGACTAGCTCGAGCTTGCCCGACACAGGAACTGCGCGCAGGCCGTCAACCTCTTTGGCGGGGTGGCTGAATGGCCCCGGCTTGCCCGTGGCTTTGCCGGAGGCGTTCGTCGGGGTGTAGGCGACGCCGCTGAACGCTTCGCCTGGGGAGAGGCCGAACTTGTCGACGATCCTATAGAGCATGCGGAGCAACGACCTGTGGCAGGCTCGATCCAGGAAGAGAGTGTATCGACCTCCTGGGCTCGTCGCAGAGAAGACCGCCTCGCTGCCCTCGCCGCCTGTCCCCGTCACGCCGGTGAAGCACCCTTCCAGCTGAATCTTAGTGATATCGTTTGTATCTCGGGCAAGTAGCCGCAGAGCACTGCGGATGCCGTGGACGCCAAGCGCATTGTTGGAGATGTTGAGCTCCTGCATGTTCGGGTGCCTGTCCAGGGAATCCTCAATGACCAAGAACGTCTGATGGTTGATCCGGTTCATGGCGACATCAAGTTTAGAAAGACCTTTTTCACGCGAGAGGGTCTCGAGGAAGAGGGCCACGGGTGTGTCCTTACCCTCCTCCACCGTCGCTGAGCAGTTGGCGAGCTTCAAGCTCCGCATGCGGCAGCTCGTCGTAAGAGCCTCGCCCAGGCAGAGGAATGTTTCCGAGCTGAAGCAATTCCAGCTCAGGTCCAATGCCGTGATGCTCGTGCTGCCGAGCAGCTCGCGAATGCACTGCTTCGCCACATACGTCGAGTTCATGCCTGTGTCTGCCAGACTGATCGTCTCGAGGAGAGTGTGCTTCCCGATGGCTTTGCAGAGCTGCGCCTGCAGCCGCGAGTTCAGCGGGATGTGGCTGAGGTCCAGCACGAGCAGATTGCTGGCCGTGCCGAGCAGCTGCATGATGCTGTCCATGGTGCGCGTGCCGGCCCTGAGGCAGTTCGAGAGCAGCAGCTGCTGCAGGGTCTGCACCGCAGGCCCGCGCGACAGCTGCTGCAGGAACGGCACGAGGCCAGCGTCGGAGAGCAGCGAATTGGAGCTCAGGTCGGTCACCTCGATGACGGCTGCGTCGTTCAGCATCCCCGCCATGGCCACCAGCTCCTGGTCAACCAGATCCCGCCCGTTCGCCTCGAACTTCTTCGAGTGGCCGGTGACGAAGGCCAGAGGGATGGGAACGCACTGGATGGTGTCGCACTCCTGAAGGTAGCGCCTCTGGTGGCCCTTCAGCGTCGGCAGCTTGGCCGAGTCACCCTTGGCTCTGGGGGAACCTGCGCTCCAATCCCGGGGCTTGCTGATGAAGGTCCTCGGAGCGACACTGGTGGGCCCCGCGTCCCTCTCCGAGGCCCTGCTAGCGAAGGCGCTGGCGGGTCCGATGGTGGCGCTTTTCTCCCAGGGCCAGGGTTTTCCAGCAAGGATCTTCGAGGTCTCACACCTGCTGCCCCTGCCGAGCAAGTTCGGCAGCGAACTCGACTGCGTGATCCGCTTGCTGCGCATGAGCGGCGATGCTCGGCAGTCCTGAATTAGCTGCCTCGACCGCACGGTGTGTAGAGAGTCCAGCCGCCTAGGGAGCTGCTCGCTCTTAGGACGCACCTCCTCGCCGTCCTTGCCAGCCCCATCCGTCAAGCGGAAGCACGCGGCGCCCATGGAAGCACGACCCGACTTAGATAAACCCTGCGCGTTTGATTCAGTAAATCTGCGCTCGTCGCCAGGGGTGGATAGAGCACTTCTCGCGGTGTCGCCCCATGGCTGCACGCCCAAGGCCTGGGCAAGCGTCACAGGGTCCAGCGGCGTCTCTTTCTTGCCGTGGAAATCAGCGAAAAAGTCATCCAGGCGCGCCTTCCTCTCCCACATGTCTTCTGGCATCTGCACCAGCACCTTGTTGTGCAGCAGCTTGTACCGCAGGATGAAATTATCTACCTCTGCCCGCAGGCACGCTTCCTCTCTCTTCCACGCGCGAATCTGGAGGGCCCTTGCGCGCATTACGGCGAACGAGGAGCTGGTTCCTCCTGCTTTGGCGCTCATGGTCTTCCAGATCCCATCACGCTTGGCCTCGTTCGTCACCGCGGTCATGATGTCCGTCGTCAGCTTCTCGATCGAGATGTGCTGGCCAGCATATTCGAAGCCCTCCCAATACTTCAGCGACAGCGCGCTGAGGAACTTACCGAGCTCCTCCACCTCGTGCCGCGTCCCCAGCTTGTTCGCCTCCCTCGCCTGCTTCGCCAACCTGGCCCTGTAGCGCAGTATGTAGTCGACCAGCACGCCCGAGCTATCGGTGATGTCCTCCGCGAGGTCCTGGAACGACGGGCCGGGCAAGGAGCTCTGCCCGCGCTCGGGCACGGTGGCGTCTCCCGCCTCCTGCGCCCTGGTGAGCCTGTCCCTGCGGTCCGCCACGATCATCATGGTCCGCCGCTTCCGTGCTGCGACCTGCGCGAGATTGGTGTTGTTTTGATTCTCTTGAGTCGGCGTGTGTGAGGGGCAATGCCGTTCTTCGTCGTCGTCGTTACAGTGCTCTAGCGGGCTTGAGGGAAACCGACCCATGTCGCAACCACGTCAAAGGAAAGCCCCTTCCCCTTTTCCCCGGCCAGGGGGGGGGGTCCCAAGGGGGTCCCGGGGGGGGGGGGGGTCCCGGGAGGGGGTCCCAAGGGGGGTCCCGGGGGGGTGCCGGGGGGAGTCCCGGGAGGGGTCGCCACCCAAATACGCTTTCACTCCCCGCGCGTCCGGCGCGGTCCCCGCGCGGTTCCGGAACCTCGCGCGGCTTCCCGGTTCCCAAAATGGTCCCTGCAGGCCAACAATTACGAAAGACTGAACATGTAGAACAACTCCCCCTCCCCCTCCTCCTCCTCCTCCTCCTCCTCCTCCTCCTCCTCTTCCTCCTCCTCCTCCTCCTCCTCCTCCTCCTCCTCCTCCTCCTCCTGCTCACTCCGCGGACTCCGAACCCCAGGCTCGAGGATCGAGACTTCTGGCGCCGCCGGAGCCCTCTCTTCGGCCACCCTCCCTCCTTCTCCTCCTCCTCTCCTCCTCCTCCTCCTCCTCCTCCCTCCTCCCTCCTCCTCCTCCTCCTCCTTCTCCCGCCCCCCCCCTGTCCTACTCCTCCTCCCCTCCTCCTCTTCCTCATCCTCCTCCTCCCCACCTCCTCCTCCTCCTCCTCCCCCTCCTCCTCCCCCCTCCTCCCCTCCGCTCCAACCTCCACCTCGACGCTCCTCCTCCCTCCCCCTTCTTTTCCTCCTCCTTTTCCTCTCCTCATCTTCCTCCTCCTCCCCCCTCCTCCTCCTCCTCCTCCTCCTCGTCCTCCTCCTCCTCCTCCCCGTCCCCCTCCTCCTCGCCTCCTCCTCATCATCTTCCACGGCTTCCGTCCCCGCCCACTTCGTCGCCGACGTCGTGGTCCTCTGCAGGGTCGGCGGCACCGGCCGTCAGGCCTTCGCAATATGCTGATAACAAAAATAAGGTTCTTAGAACATAAACCCGATGTGTTAAAACACGACAGACTCAGCCAGAAATGTTCTAAGAACATTTCTTGCAGACCACAAAAGGTTCTTAGAACATTCCTTGGTGGGCCTATACGCAAACCAGGACGCTTCGCCACTGCTTGACCCCTGTAGCGTCTGTTACGGCGGGGGGGTCGGGCCTGCGACCGCCACAGTAGGGTTCTGAGCACGAGAGCATGCCTTCCAACACCGCGCTGTCAGCGTGAGAGGGGCCGAACTGTCATGCATTGTCCCTAGGGCGCGTGGCTGCAGTGTGATTCTGCGGTGCGGACTGTTGGATGTGGTTCTTGTTGGTGGCGGTGCTGTTACTGTTGTTGTTGATGGTGTTGTTGGTGTTATTGTTGTTGTTGCTGGTGTGATTGCTCTTGCTGTTGCTCTTCCTGTTGTTGATGAAACCCCGCGACCCGGACAACGACCCACACGCGACCCACCCGCGACATGTCATCCGGGACACCCCCCCGCGACCCCCCCCCCCCGACCCACCCGCGACCCACCCGCGACCCACTCCATGACCCACCCGCGACCCACCCGCTACCCGGCCCGCGACCCACCCACGACTCACCCGCAACCCACCTGCGACCCGCCCCGCGACCCCCCAACATTGCTTTGACGGAAAAATCGGCGCATGCAGCGGGCTCGGTGCATAATGTGTAAAAATGTGGCGCCTGCGGCGGGCTTCTTCAGAGCCTCCTATCCGCAACTGCGGGGCGATACGGTACCTGTGAGCAACGCTCCATGCCGGTGCGGAACCGCCCCGCCTCCCGAACGTCCGGCGGTACCGTTACGGGTAAGGGAGGGGAAAGCGACCCCCTGTAACGCACTTTACCTGAGGCCTCCTAGATGACGACCGAGTAGATGGGGTCGGAGGGTCGCGCCGCATCGCCGATGCATCGGCGACATCGTCGTGGAGAGACTCCTGGCTCCACATCGAGCCGCATAGTCGATGCATCGCCGATGCGGAACGATCCTCCGATTCCGCCTGCTCGGACTCCGTCACAATCTCTTTACGTGGGGTGCGGACTGTTGTTCAATCTGCCAGTTTTGCCTCAACGCTGCGGCCTCCATGGGGGGGGCTCCTCTGCGGAGCCCCACCCACTGGCGGCCGTCAACGTGTGGATCGCGGGACGCCGCGCTGCCCCCGGGGGTAGTGGGCCGAGACCCCTGGGCCCCCGGAAGTCCCAGCGTTTCCTCCCGGGGTAGGTTCTCGTCGACGGTCGCGGAACCCGCCAGCGTCGCCCGAGCGCCGAAATCTGCGAACACCATTCTCTCAAGTACGTCGGAGGTCTGCGTGTCCGGGGGTCCTGTCCATGCCTTGCTGACATCGGGAGGAGACCGCTGCTCGGCCTTATGGGGGATGTTGGACCGAGGAGGCTCCCAATCCGCCGAGCCTCGCGGAGGGGCCTCCTCCTTCGAGTCGTCCCGAACATGGTCGGGTGAGCGCGGGATTTGACAGAGCCCTCTTCGAGCCGGCCCGAACCAGTTTCGGTGAGTGGTGGAGTGGACGGACAGCCCCCCCCCCCCCCCATGTCCGCCGCCGTGCCCCCTCGCACGCCGAGGCGTGGTAGGTAGGATGCTCGAGCGGGCCGCGGGGCCGGAGCGGGACATCAGCTGGCTCCGGCCATGAGAGAAAAAGGATTGCACAAAAAACCCAGGATTGTAAAAAAAAAAACCCAGGATTGCAAAAAAAACAATGTTTTTTTTGCAATCCTGGGTTTTGTTTGCAATCCTTCTGTTTTTTTGCAATCCTTCGTTCAAGAGAGGCACCAGCGTGAACGCGCTCCGCTCTCTGCCCCCCCTCGTGGGCCGCCTCTTCCCCAGGTGTGCATCTGGTGCCGAAGCTGCCACAGCTCCCATCCCGACGAAGGATTGCTGGTGCCACTCCAGCTCGGACCCCCAGGGGCACCTCCAGGCAGAATGCCGAGTGCTGCCTGGCAAGGTCTCCGTGAGTCTTCCGAAGAGCACACGCCCAGCCGCGTGAAGCGCCCAACTGCGTCCGACGCCTCCTCGGGGGCCGCTGGAGCTCTCCAGGCCTTCCGAGACGGCCCAGCACAGCCACCACGGCCATCGAGGTGGCCCTGCCATGCCTCCTCGAGAGAAACGCGATAGCCCGCGCGGCGCCGACGGAGCTTCAAGAGACCCCCAAGACGCCAAAGAAAAACGGCCAGGAGGCAATTCGGTTGCACAAAATCGGGGTGTCCTCAACATCAGAAGAAGAAAAAACGCCATAAACATAAACTGTTGGCGCTCCGCGCGTATTTCTTGGATCCGCACTGGACCCCCCTCCCTGGCGCGCGAAGCGCGTAAAGGGCGGCGCCAGAGGCGCCGCTGGGGGGCCCCGCGCGGATCCAAGAAATCTGCACGGAGCGTCAAAAGTTTATGCTTATGGCGTTGGCGTTTTCTTCTTCGACCGAAGTCGGGGTTCCCTCAGCATAGCGACAGTGAGCGTGGGGTGAAGAGACGTCCACCTCTCGTGCACCGCTCGGGCGCCCGCGGTGGCAGTTCAGGGACCGCTTATAGGGTCCCTTCAGGGTCCCGTTCCTGGAACCCTCGATCCCCCCCCACGTGTATTGCCCCCCCCTGTCCTCCCTCCTCCTCCTCTTCCTCCTCCTCGTCCTCCTCCTCGTCCTCGTCCTCGTCCTAGTCCTCCTCCTCCTCCTCGTCCTCGTCCTCGTCCTCCTCCCCCTCCTCCTCCTCCTTCTCCTCCTCCCGCGTGTATTGCCCCCCCCCCCCCCCCCCCTGTGCCGTCAGCACGGAAAAATCCGCTGGCCTCCTTGGGGGCCAACAGGCTGCGGGCACGACGTGCAGCTGCAAGCTGTGCCAGCACCAGTTCCCAATGTTTCAATTCTACCTTCTGCCTCCCAACGTGACAACCACCCCAGACTCGCGTACTCTGAAATTCTGGGCGCTGCTGTCCGCGTGAGGGGGGGGGGAGCCGAACACCCCCCTGGCCACCACGCCGGACGCGCGACTTCAGAACTTGTTTGAGGGAGGGGCCAGCGACACTAAAAAGTACTCGAGAGTCGCGCCCCCGAACCCATAACCCCGTGCAATATACACCAGATTCTCGTCCCCGAAGCGGCCAAATTACAGTATCAAATTTCACCAGACTCGAGCACCCGAGGCCACGACCCTTGTAGATAACGAAAAGATACGAGCCCCCGAGGATATGATCTTCTAGAGATTACAACAGATTCGCGCCTCCGAGGTCACATATTGAATCTACGACTAAAGCTCTCTCCCGAGGCTACAATCCCATCGCACGGGGGATGCTCCAAATCGCCAGCCTCTCGCCGGAGAAGGAAACGCTAGTTTTCTGCGTTTGGACATGTACTTGGGGTGTGTTTCTCGCCCTCTCCCCCCCGCTGCTCCCAGCAACCTCTACGCTGGACCCGCAGCCACGAGTCCCCGATCATAGCGAAGACTGCAAGAAACCCAAAGACAGCCCAAGCCGCGCGCGTATGCCAAGATGGCCTCAGACAGTCCCCAGCCGCTCCGCCGACACACAGCATGAGGGAAACGCTCCAAGTAGGAATGCGTTTCACCGCAACTCCAGCATATCCATACACGCTCTGCTGACTGCCAACCCCGCCCGCGTGATGTTGCCAGAACGGAGGCATCCCAGATGGGGTCCGAGTATAGATGGGGTCGAAGGTTCGCGCCACATCGCCAATGCATCGCCGATGTATCGGCGATGAATCGGCGATGCATCTGCGACGTCGGCGATTCATCGGCGACGTCGTCGTGGGGAAACACGGGCTCCACATCGAGTCGCATTGTCGATCCTCCGACCCCATCTACTCGGACCCCATCAGGGAGGCCCAGACAGAGGGTGCCAAGACATCCAAACACCGCCCTGATGCATCCCGCCCTGGTGAAGATGGGGCTGGCGGCAGAGGGCGAAGCCCTCATTTCGGA